TAGCTCTGATTCCTCTCTTAGTTCGCTATTCAACGTTTTCTCTTCTTCGCTTGCAAGGAATTCAATGCATTCATCATCACTCTGGGGGAGTTCTGACAGCGATCGCCAGGGTTTGTGTAAAGAAATCTCTGCAAAACAAAAGTGCGGGTTCGTTGTATCCGGAAATATCCACGGCGTTCCACGCACTACATGAGGTGTCGAGCGTAGTTTAATGTACCCTTTTGAATCTATTCTTTTCCAATAGTTGGTGCCTGCGTTCTCTGGCTATGTTGTATTAGGCAACATAAGCGAATCCCTAAGTCGGAAAATACAGCATTCGGACTGGAGGGGTTAAGCTTTGTACAGATAAATAAAGAAGCAAGCTTGATCGTCCGATCTCCGTTATCATCATGCCCCGGCACAAAAAAGCAGCAAAACGTAGTACGTAGGCCTTTAAACTTTCCCGAAATGAAATCGCGAAGTTTGCTACCTTCCGAGATCGTAGAAATTGCTGCTAGCAACTTGTTTTTAGCATCGTTCACCCATTTATCTTTGAGGGCGAAGCAATCACGGACAACATCACCAATCGTCTTATGCCGCTCGTCGATCATAAGCTATAATTCAATACAAGCACCGCTCGTTGCAGTACATCAGCTGTCCATAGGGGCATGAATAGGAAATAATCGACTTTCGTGACCGTTCTTATCCTGTTCTCGTTGATGCTAAACATGTTCTCGTCTCAGGTGGAGACTATCGCGCAAGAAAGCACCTTCATTTCTAGTTGACCTTCCTTTTGTTTGGTTCCGTTCTCGCCCTCTTGTTTCATGTGTCGAGCTCACAATCCGTATAAGACATTGTAGTAGCGGAGGCGCTTTGTAACGTCATCAGACGCCTCGCACACGATTGCAAGGTCTCTTACGCGATAAGCAGATAACGAACGACAGTAAGAAGTATGGGACTAGGTTGAGTTCATTTAAACTCAGTATGTTGCATACATTAGGAAGTACAAGATAAGTTGAAACCACTGTGACAGACGCTGCAGTGGATGCATTGAATGCCAGAATTCATTTTAACTCGAAGATAGCGAGTCGGATTCGCAAGCAACGCATTTAGGTTCGAAAGATACTACAACATTGCATCAAAGAAAGCAATCCTTGGAGGTGGCTATCGCATTCATACGCTGCACCAATGATAATCCACTTGTCACGATGGGCCCTCCAGAACTCATCGAAAAAGTGCGTGTAGAAGGAAGAAGTGCCGGCACCTGGTGTTCTCGTCATCGTCACCCAATCTTTCCTTCTTCTTCAGCAACAGATTTTCCGCAAGGCGGTAGTACTCTCCATAGCATTCTTGTACATAAAAAATATTCCCCACCTCTGTAACAGCGCTCGGATATAATAATTATAATACTAGTGGAGCATCCGCGGGCAGTTGCTTAAGGTGCGACTGCCTAGAATTATGTGCAAAACATAATTTTGGACGACGCCCCCGCCCCCTTTTTCTCATACGACCCATCTACTGAAAATCTTATCAAGATGGCCAAGATGAAGTCTACCTCGGCTACAGGAAGCAAGCAAAGGGCGATCAGAAGTTGCTTAAGAACTCCACCATGGTTGAGAACAACCTTCATGCAGTGTCCGGACCCGATACCGTCGATGGCAGTAAACGGGCCGCGAAAGTGACCCGTGCTGCCCACACCCACGCAGCAAAAGTGCTCCAAACTCAACACCGTACGTATTAGTTTGTTCTACACTTGATCGTGAACGATAAACAATAATCGATACTGCATATTTTACGAATGATTAGACCATGCTGTACGTGCACTGCGTGTTAGTCAAGCAGCTCATGCACGCGTGTCCAAGGCTGCGAAGTATCAACCAAAGAGTGACAATAGTTAGTGCCGTGGAAGC